TATATATTTATAAATTATATATTTATAAATTATAAATATTATGTATTTATTATTATTATTAATTATATAATAATAATAAGTATAATTCTCCTTGCATCTGCCTATCCCAGGGCCTTGGGAAGGACTCGGTAGGTGGATAAAAATGCCAGATCTAGTCTAAACATCAGGCTGACTGGGCGACCAGCAACAATTCTCAAAAACTCTGGGCAGTTCACAAAGTAAAAACACAGAGAAAAGAACAATAAGAACAAAGACGAAGGAGCAGAAGATAGCAAAACATGCACACGCTACTCGGGGGCATCAACCCCACTAACCAAAAGTCTGGACAAAGAGCCAGGTCCTCAAGACCCTGCGAAACAGCAGTAGGATAGGAGCCCCCCTTATTTTGGGGGGAACCTCATTCCAAGGGCAGGCCCTGCGGCAGAGAAGGTGCACTTCCAGGGTCCCTGTAGATAGCATTGTTTAATCAAAGGAACCTGGAGTGCACTAACCTTGTCAGGCTGGATTGACCGGGCAGCTGCTATGGGAGATAGGTGGTCCCTCGAGTAACCAGGACCTATGCCATGTATCAAGCTGTCTTGCATGGCCTTGATCTCACTTGGTTTTCATTAGCCTGGAGGCCTCTGGAAGTATTGCTCTGTAGTTCCCAGGTCCTAACCCTGCTAACTAGGAATTCTGGGAGTTGAAATCTAATGTATCTGGTAAGCCCCAGGTTGCGAAAGAGGCAAGTGAATATCACCTACAGTATTACCCATAGTAGTACAGTATTACCCACTGCTCTCCAAGTAGGTGGGCAAAGTCTTGGCTAGAAGAAGACTCTTCCTCCTGTCTACCATCTGAGCCAGGGATGCCTGGAAATTTCTCCTTGAGAAAGGAGGGACTTTCTGCATGTTGTTCAGCTTCTTGGCTATGAATCTTTCACTCAAAATATGGAGAATTGTGAATGTAAATTACTCATCTTTTGTGCGTAGATCATTCCCGTGTTCCCAATATTTCAAGGGCGGGATGTAATTGTAATCCTGATGACAATCCTAAAAGTCAGTAGTGGTAAATTTTTGAGGGATTGGGGGCCACAGCTTCACCTCACAGCCTTCTAGAGATTCACAGGAGATGTCTGTGGTGATGGAGTATGTCTTTTTTGGGCTGGGTGGGCAGAGGAACTAATGGTGGGAATGGAAGCAGGGAGCATCTTAGATGCAAACTGCTGGTAATCCCATCCTTGGAAACCCTTCATCTCAAAACTGGACTGAAGTTATGTTGCTGATTGCTCGGCTGTGGGGCTGCAGGGCTGTGTGTGATTGATCATATTTACAGAGGGGCAAGCCTTTATTCCATCTGCCTTGCTGTGGATGGGAGGCAAAGGGAGCGCAGGTCGCAGGAGGCCCCCTTTGGAGTTCATGGCAAAGCCAAAGCCAAAATGGGAGATTCCCTGATTCACCATGGGGAAGACATTTAGGAGGGCCAAATACAGGTAGTCTTACTTACTGACTGTCTCATTCAGTGGCCATTTGAAGTTATGACAGCACTGAAGAAGTAGCTTTATGACCAGTCCTCAAACTTGCAGCCATCGCAGCGTCCCCTCAGTTACGTGATCATAATTCGGGCGCTTGGCAACTGGTGCACATTTATGATAGTTGCAGCATCCCATGGTCATGTGATCGTCATTTGTGAGCTTCATTGCCAGCTTCCAACAAGCAAAATCAATAGGGAAGCTGTCAGAAAGTCATAAATTATTGTCATGTATGTCGCGCTAACAACTCTTAATGACCGGAGCAGAACAGATGTCGTAAGTCGGGCGCAGACATATGATGTTTCACTTTACAACCGTGTCACTTGGTGACAGAGTCGCCAGTCCTAGTTGCGGTTGGTAAGTGAGAACTACCTGTACGATCTTGTTACTTTATGCAGAGGAGTCTGATTTCTGCAACACAGACTAGTTTCCCTACTAGACTTTGGATTTCTTTGTGTGTGGAAACAGAGAGGGAGAAGGGATGGAGATCATGACCAGTCTAGAAACAAGAAAGACTCCTGAGGTTGAAAGACTTACAAATAAGATAGTTGCTGGCTAGTTTAGCTGCTCATCGAAGTAATGGAAATCAAACTGAAACGAATGAAGGTGCCTGGTAAGCTAAAAATTCACCAGAATCTGTACCCCGAATAAGTCTCTGTCTCCCTCTCTCTTGAATTCCAAGAGGGACTGTTGGTGCCCAAACCGGACCTTGCCTCCAGTCCAGATGAAGAAGAGGAGCAGGTCTTCATCCGGTTTCCTGTCGAAAGTGAGAGAATTGCAGATCATGAATCAGGTAAGGAGGAAGACGAGAAGAATTCCGGGCGCTCCTTGTGGGAGGGGGGTTTGGAGAGCATCTTATTTCTTCTCGACCAGTAAAAGGCAATTTTGCTTTAGGGTTATGGCGTAAAACGTACAACTCAAGAGGAAAACGGGAAGAGGTTTGCTGTTAATTGCCTTTGAATTTCACACAGCGCTGGGAAATGTCATTGAAAGTGTCATTGAGGTTGCTTTGTTCAAAAAAAAAAAAGTACACACAGCTTCTCACTCTCCGTAAATAAGAAAATAAGGGTATGTGAATATGGATCTGTTTGATGAAATTGTATAGCGTGACTGCCTGTATGAGCTGAATGACTAGTCTACCTAGATCCAGGACTGTTGGCTCTCGGCAAGAGCAATCTTGGGCCAAAATCTCTTTAGATCTACTTTGAGAGAGAGCAGACATGAGATCCTCTGCACACCGCACATAGCCTGTGCTTTACCGCTGAGACCCAATCCCTCATTACAATAAAAAAATTCTTATGTGTAACTGCTGAGTCACGTTTCTCAATTGTGTGTTCCGGTTTAAGGCATATTCCCCTAATGTTTCTTTTTCTGAGCACGTGTTTCTTTACTTATTTATTAATCAAATTTGTATGGCCGCCCATCTAACCAGTGGAACCCCGAGCGGCAAACGAACCTAAAAACATTTTGAATCAATTAAAAGACAAAAAAAAACGGGTTGGCACCCTCTTGCTCGAATGTGATTTTGGAATCCAGTTTTCTGCATCTATCACCTGTGACAATTTTGTATTACAATTTGCCAACCTACTTAACTATGCCATGCCACTGTTCACTTTCATCAACCTCCCCCTTCTGTCCAGCGCTACGGTTTAAAAATAACAAAAAGACTTCCACCCTGCCACGCCATAGTGAAACATGGCTCGTTTTCTGTTCGTGTTCACCGTTTTTCTCGACTTAGGACCCAGTGACACTTCATCTTCGGAGGCTGCGCCCAACCCGTCAGGAGGTGCTCAGCTCTCCCGAAGCGCCTCTTGCCCTCTCCGAGATTTCACTGGCTCTCATTGGAAGCATCCCCGCTGGACAGATGATGAAATCCAGGCTTTTATTGACATCTGGGGGGACACATCTGTACAGCAAGCCCTCTTCTCAAACTACAGGACCGTCTCTCAGTTCCAGTGGATCTCGGGCCAGATGAAGGCCCGTGGCTATGACCGGAATTGGCTCCAGTGCCGGGAAAAAGCCAAACATCTCCGGAAAAGCTACAAGGACTGCCTGGGTGGGAACAGCCAGTGGGGACAGGGGAGGCGAACATGGCCTTTTTTCAACCAGCTGAATCAGTTCCTGCGCATTGAGCAGGATCTGGTGGTTCCACGGGAGATACGGCGCAAGGACGTCCAGCATCATCTCGTTGACCGCCGGCGCAAGAGAGCGAAGAACGTGGCTGGTCAGGTGGCGAAAGCTTCCCGGGTTCGGGTGGAGGCTTCTGGGTTGCCAGCGGTGGAAGCCCATGAGCTGCAGTCAAAGCAACAGTCAAAGCATCGCTCTCGCTTCCCCAACAGCACAGCACGCTCAGGTTTGTCTTCCTTTAATGCTTTACCCATCCTTTTGGGGTCATTAATTGGCTCTCCTGTGTATGCAAGACAATCTTTTTATTAATACGGCATCTATGCAAAAAAGAACAACATTCATGAATATACACATACAAGGCATTCCCCTGTATATGCCCACCACTTCCTGAGGGTCATCTGATTTTTTTTAAAAGCTTCCTTTCCCCAACGTATTTGGGTGTTCTTGCAAGAAAGGGATGCCCCGTAAGGTGATAGTCTGCTTCCCAGTGGAGCCCAGTTGGATTTAGTACTCTTATCTAACTTCTGCTCTCCAGACTTTGGCAAGAAATCCTTGTTAAAACCAGCTTATTTAGCTGCTGCTGAGAATCCACATTGTACAGTTATTTAGTCCTTGTGCCATTAGCTGTAAATAGTAATGTCAGATATTGCTTGCCCTAACTGGTGATTTGGGAAGCAACAGTTGTCGAAACACCTCCGCTTTACTGATTTATTAGATTTATATCCCACCTTTTGTTCAGAAGCATAATGTGTGAGGTAGGTGGGGGTGAGAGGGAGGAGTTATCCCCAGTCCTCCAGGGAGCCTAGTTCAGGGGGGACCAGAAGTTGAATTTCCCATTCCAAGTCCAGTCCTTTCACCACTACTCCACACTGGTTCAGGGACTGAGAGAGAGGGATTGGCTCATGAGTCACCCAGGGTGCTTCTGTACCTCAGTGGGGACTAGATCCTGGTTCTCTCTGCTCCTAGACCAGCACCCAAAGTCTCCCAGGGAGCTCCTGTGGCTGAGGGTGGATTGGAACATGGGTCTCCCCACTTCTATTCCAGCACCTTCACCACTACCTTGGACTGACTCTCTAGAGCAGAGTTTCTTTCCCATGCTGGCTGGGGAATTCTGGGAGTTGAAGTCCACACATCTTAAAGTTGCTAAAGTTGAGAAACACTGCTCTAGACTTGGGCAGTGGCAAATTTTTATATCTATCTATCTATCTATCTATCTATCTATCTATCTATCTATCTATCTATCTA